CAATTGAGAGGGTAATTTTGGTGAAAATTGGGCCGAGCTATAAGACGGTCATAGTGGCCCACAATACAAAGGGCTGAGTAAAAAAGGCCGTAAAAGTTACTCCGGCCCAAGAGAGGTACAGAATTACTCCGGCCCAAGATACGTGTAAAGTTACTTCGGTCCGGAAGCAACTTGAAGTTAGACTGGTCTTGAAGTTAGACCGGTCTTGGAGTTATACCGGTCGCGAATCATTAGTTCGGTCTAAACCGTGCCATGTACAGTGCATGAGAAGCCGACGTAAGAGAAGTAAAAAGAAGAACTAGTTCGGCTCATTCTACGGCTATGCTTAGTCGTGTTTACATCGGTCGTATTGGAGTTCGGCCATGATACAACCATCTCACTTGGTTTAAGCAGTGAGGGGGGTGTTGAAGGATAAGCATTATCTTTCAGAAGTATGAATCCTAGTAGGACTCTGCATGGAGGAGTAGAAGTCCTACTAGGATTGTGCCACGCAAAATCTATAAAAGCTCACAAACATCACCTTTGGGGAGGTAACACACAACTTTGCTTTCTGAATTCACAGAGCTTTGTCTATTTGTCAAGTTTGCTGACTTAGGCATCGGAGAGGTTTCCGGCACACACCCGCGCGGCTAGCTCATGTTTGTGCTTTCAGGTGATAAGGCGACGTCGTACGGAGGAGCGCAGACTTGGTCAACAGAATTATACGAGAAGGTTTATTTCTTTCCCGTACACTTCACAATTTCAAACAGTAACATATATTGAAGGAGCTTGCTCACGGGGATACTTTCCAACACTAATCAGCCCAAGAATTGGCCCTATCCTCCTCAGCATCTTCTGTGAATATCATGCAGTGTGTATGTGATCTTCCCTATTTAATTTGGTAAGCATTTCCCCTGCAGTGTGTATGTGATCTTCCCTATTTAATTTGGTAAGCATTTCCCCTACACCCTCTCTGTTTTTCTTTTCCCACTGAATTTCTAAATCACTGGTTGATATGTATATCAAAATGAGGAATTGTCAGTTGGGTTTCTCCTTCGGGTTATTGTCGTCTTTCGGAGAAGAAGAAATCTAAATTTTGGTCTGCAAATTACGGCCTTCAAAACTCAAACATTCCTAGCGGGAAAGAATCTTCGTTTGGGTTTTCATTGGGTCTCTCTTTGCAATAAAATGGAGTTTTTGGGGAATTATATTTCAGAGTTGCTGTGATGTTTATAGGTTCTCCGTTGCAAAAAAAGAAAAATGGGTTTTGTGCCATTTTCTTCATTTTCACAGAAGAGATAATGGAGAACACACTGTAGCAAAAAAAATAATGGAGAAGACATGGGAGTAAAGTCCCTTATCATATTTGTAACTATTCTTAAAAAAAAAACCTTTGCTTTTTCATATGGTTGTTTTCAACTGTACGAGGAAAGAAGCACCACCACCTCTTTTAAATTTTCTAATTTTAATTAATTATGTTTTTTTTGTGGTTTTATCTATGATTTGTTGATCTGTGAGTAACTATCAACTATGTATCCTAAATAATGTATGTGAATTTGTGTTGTCTGGGTTGAGTTTATGTTTGTGTTTCTTTGATTACTGGGTCTCTTTTACACTACGTCATGATGCCAAATTATTCAAAGAAGCCTGCATAAATATGAATTAAGAACCTAAAAATTAATTTAATGAAAATACAAAAAACACTGCTTTTTTTTTTTCCCCAAAAATACACACACACAAAATTAAGAACACTGAATTTTTTTATTTATTTTTATTTTTTTTCAAAACACACACACAATGAAACTTTTTAATGATGAAAAAAAATACATAATAGTGTTCTGAATCAATATATTTTTTCTCCACAGAACCTAATTACACATAGGTGTCAAACTGTTTAATTAAAAACCTAAAAATTAATTTAATGAAAATACAGAAAATACCGATTTTTTTTTTCAAAAACAGACACACAAAATTATGAGCACTGATTTTTTTTTTTCTTTCTCCAAAAACACACACAATGAAAGTTTTTAATGAAGAAAAAAAATACATAATATTGTTCTGAATCAATATTTTTTTTTCTCCACAGAACCTAATTATATAATGAAACTTTTTATTGGAAGCCTGCATAAATATGAATTAAGAACCTAAAAATTAATTTAATGAAAATACAAAAAACACTGCTTTTTTTTCCCCAAAAATACGCACACACAAAATTAAGAACTCTGAATTTATTTATTTATTTATTTTTTTTTTCAAAACACACACACAATGAAACTTTTTAATGATGAAAAAAAATACATAATAGTGTTCTGAATCAATATATTTTTTTCTCCACAGAACCTAATCACACATAGGTGTCAAACTGTTTAATTAAAAACCTAAAAATTAAGAACCTAAAAATTAATTTAATGAAAATACAGAAAATACCGATTTTTTTTTCAAAAACAGACACACAAAATTATGAGCACTGATTTTTTTTTTTCTCCAAAAACACACACAATGAACGTTTTTAATGAAGAAAAAAAATACATAATAGTGTTCTGAATCAATATTTTTTTTTCTCCACAGAACCTAATTACATAATGAAACTTTTTATTGGAAGCCTGCATAAATATGAATTAAGAACCTAAAAATTAATTTAATGAAAATACAAAAAACACTGCTTTTTTTTCCCAAAAATACACACACACAAAATTAAGAACACTGAATTTATTTATTTATTTATTTATTTTTCAAAACACACACACAATGAAACTTTTTAATGAAGAAAAAAAAATACATAATAGTGTTCTGAATCAATATATTTTTTTCTCCACAGAACCTAATTGCACATAGGTGTCAAAGTGTTTAATTAAGAACCTAAAAATTCATTTAATGAAAATACAGAAAATATCAATTTTTTTTTCAAAAACAGACACACAAAATTATGAGCATTGATTTTTTTTTTTTCTCCAAAAACACACACAATGAAAGTTTTTAATGAAGAAAAAAAATACATAATAGTGTTCTGAATCAATATATTTTTTTCTCCACAGAACCTAATTACATAATGAAACTTTTTATTGAAGAAAATAAAAATCTATACTATTATTAAAAGCCAACAGAAGCTTACAATTTATGTTTTCAAAAAATTAGGTTGTTTGATTGCTTAATTTTGTGTGTGTGTTTTTCTTAAAAACAATTCGATGTTCATAAAAATTGTTTTATTTCAAAAAAATTAAAAACAAATAAGTTTCTTTTTTTTTGGGTTTATTATTTATTTTTTACTGCATGTGTTCCAAGAATATGGGTTCCTGTTTTGTTATTTTGTGTGTACCATTATTACTTACACTTTTTATTTTCTTCATTAAAAAGTAAAAGAAAAAAAAGTATGTTAATCGATTTATTGGAGAGAAAAACTGACTATTATTTTCTTTCGTTTATATTTTTGGCAGGTTGCTTTATAACTTTGTGTTGTTCAGAATAAACTTTTCGGATTATTGTCTATCGACACCTAATTGCTTTAACGGTAGGTGTTCTATTGCTTTAGTTTGTAATGCTTCAAATATATAACTTCTTTTCCTATGCTTGAAAAAATCAAATATGCAATTTTTTTTTTTTTTATATATATGCTTGAATTTTTTTTTTTTGGGGGGTTTATTATTTATTTTTCACTACAAGTGTTCCAAGAATATGGGTTCCTGTTTTGTTATTTTGTGTGTACCATTATTACTTACACTTTTATTTTCTTCATTAAAAAGTAAAAGAAAAAAATTATGTTAATAGATTTCTTGGAGAAAAAAACTGACTATTATTTTCCTTCGTTTATATTTTTGGCAGGTTGCTTTATAATTTTGTGTTGTTCAGAATAAACTTTTTGGATTTTTCTCTATCAACACCTATTTGCTCTGACTATAAGTATTCTATACGAATGTTGAGTTTGTAATGCTTGAAACTTGAATAATTCTAAAAAAATTCTATTGCATGAGTTTGTAATGCTTCAAATATATAATTTCTTTTTCTATGCTTCAAAAAATCAAATATGTAATTTTTTTATTCAATCTTTATTTTTATTTTTATTTATATGTAATTTTTTTTATATTTATTTATATGAATTTTTGTTGTATAATTTTTTAGTTAAAATTCATGAAAGTTTGGCCAAATCTCATGAAATTTGGAAAAATCCATGGGTGGCCAAAATTCAAAGAACGTTGTAGGTGTCTAATCTTTTTAATTGTAACTTTTCTAAAAAACCCTTTGTTTATTCATATGTTTGTTTTGAAGTGTATTTTTTTGATAAGAAAGAATTCAGTGGTCCCAAAATTTCATATGATTTTTTAATATTTATTACGTAATGAGTTTGTGATTGTCAGAACAAATAACTTCTACAGTCGTGTTTTATTAATACTTATCTTCTACTTCTCTTTTGACTGTAAGTATTTTTAATTCTATTTTTAATTTTTTTTATATTTAATCGAATGTTTGAAAAATTTATGAGGCCTCGTTTGGGAACAGGCTAATTTAGTAACTTTTTGGCTATTTGGCTAAAAAGGTAGGTAAAAAAAACTTGTATGTTTGGGATGACTTTTTGGCTAATTACGAAAAGATGTGCAAAAAGTAGAGAGAAAAGAGAATCTTTGACTTTTTGGTATGGGTTGTTGGCTTTTTGGCTAATTTAGTAAGTTTTTGGCTAATTGGCTAAAATAGCCTCTTGCCAAACGAGGCCTCAGTTTGTTTTTAAATCATATCTCAAGTTGCACACGCTTTGGCTCATCATTGCTAGGTAAACTCTTTCACTTGTAATTTTATTTAATTCTCCACAAAATGAGATTAGTACTTAAAATAATATGCATTATAAAAATATAAAAACAAACATATGAAAACACTTACATAAAAATATAAAGCATATTATATTGTGAGTATATGAGTTGCATTGTGAATATACTATTACTGCCTCTTACATAATTTTATATAATGTAGGCACATTTTAAAGATAGCTGGATTTCATCTACGCAAGTGTTAGTTTAACAATCTTAGGAAAAATGAATCACGATTACTCTGACACATCAAATTTGAGACATGTACAACAACAAAATCGTGAACGACGTCGTTTATACCTACAACAGAGGAGGCAACGCTCAGCTTCAGAACCAAATGCTCAAACTGAACAACCGCAAAGAGAATTCGAACAGTTACGCCTTCAAAACTTAAGCACTGAACAACGCTCAACAAGATTGGAGCAACGTCGTCTTGCTCAGCGCAGGCGAAGATTGTTTATTCGCAAAGAAAGTGCGACCTCTAATGTGCAACAAAGAGAAATTCAAAGGGAAAGTTGGCGTAATTATGCTAGACAAAGGAGGGCTGCTTTGACTATTGAACAACACGAACAACAACTTGCAAGGCGACGAACAAATTATCGACAAAGAAGGCAAATATCTGAAAATCTCGAACAAACTTCTCATCCAAATCAAGTACATAATATGACGAATGCACAAACAAGTAGTAAGTATTCAAATGTTATAAACATTATTTTTTTTTTGGTAAGCTTTTACACTTTTGACATTAATATTCATTTAATTTATTATTTATAATTTTAACTGCTAGGATGCATGTTAAACTTTTTCGATGCAATCCCAAGAAGAAATAGAACAGGATGGCGTAGGCCACTAGCAACAGTTTTGCCAACCATTCACGAAGAAGGCAATTTGGTTGCGACTAATGTTTTTAGACGGGAAAGTAGAATGACTGCACTCGCACGTATCGACTTACCCCGATATGCACCTACTCATTCGACTTATGAGCATGGAAGCACAAGTGGCAATAGACAAGATCCTCGCGAAGTTCAGATAGAAGGTACAAATAATTTATTTAGTTTAAGTACTTTTACAAAATAAACAACCTTTACAATAAATGTAAAAAATATGATCATGCAAATATGATATGCAGTACAATTACATTTAATATTGAACATGAAACTCAAACACTTTCAAATAAATACTATTGTGTTAATAATAAACCCATACATCATACATGTATTGTCATAGGAAATATCCCTCATGTCGACCACAATCAGGATGCTTTGAGCGATGAAGATATTCAAAATAATCGATCATTTATCCATAGGAGATATCATAATTGTGCAAGAAATTTTCATGAAAGTGAAGGTTCCAAAGAATGCAGTTCCCTGCTCCAACTACATGTTGACATTGCAACGCAAGATTGTTCCACCGTGACACATCTACCATGTGTTGTAATAATGGAACAATTATTTTGCCGTTGTAATAATGGAACAATTATTTTGCCACCAGTAACAGCTCCAAATGAGATGATTGATATTTTCTCTGACCAAACAGTGGAAGGTCCTCATTTCAAACAAAATATTCGAGCCTACAATCATGTTTTCTCATTCACTTCAATGGGTGTTCATGTTGATGAAAACTTAGCAACAAGAACTCGAGGTGTGTACACGTTTCGTGCACAAGGAGCCATATATCATAAGATTGGGAGTCTCTTACCAAATTCTAGTGACAGACCAAGATATTTGCAACTGTATGTTTATGACACTGACCATGAGAATGAGAATCAAATGTCTGAAAATGAAGAATTGCACTTGGATTTGCTTGACAAGATAAAGAATATTTTAAATACTCATAATCCATTTGTACACACGTTTCGCCAATTGGCTCAGCGTCCAGACATACATGAATGCAGACTTCAAATCAAAGAGCAACCACATAATAGGCCCCAATACAACCTTCCTACTGCTCCTGAAGTTGCTGCAGTTTTAGTAGGTGGCGAAAAAGCTGGAAATTTAAAACCGAGAGATATCATTGTCCAATCAACCAGTGGTCACCTCCTAAATATTTCTGATATTGTCGGATACTATAATCCATTACAGTATCCTCTGTTGTTACCCTACGGTTCATATGGATGGGATGCAAATACCAGAAGTAATGATGGCAGAAAAGTAACATGTTGTGATTTCTATTCTTATATGCTACAGGTAACGACGTATACATAATATTAAAAAATTACTTCGTCGAAGTTATTTAATCTATAATTATTTCGTATAAAATCTTTACTTTTAATTATTTATAAGTATTGAAATACTATCAATTCAGATTCGCCCTGGTGATCAAGCTCTTTTTCTTCGAGGAGGTCGTCTCTTACAGCAGTATGTCGTAGATAATTACGTGAAGATTGAGTCCAACAAATTAAGATGGATACGTACTCATCAGAATCACATTCGAGCTGATTTTTATCAAGGTCTTCTAGATGCAGTACATGTTGGTGAAAATTATGGAGGTACAAATTGTCACGTATGATATTACAATTACATGTACGCATGTTTGTTTATATTCATACATACAATTTCTTTTTTCCTTTTGTGAAATATTTGTTTAGGTAATGTTGGTCGTAGAACAATATTGCCATCGTCATTTGTTGGTGGCCCACGAGACATGTATCAGCGATATCAAGATGCAATGGCTCTGGTCCAAAAGTATGGAAAACCTGATCTTTTCCTTACAATGACCTGCAATCCAAATTGGCCTGAAATTAAAGCTGAGTTGCTACATGGACAGTCACCACATGATCGTCCTGATTTGCTAACAAGAATATTTCATTCAAAATTTGATGAGATGAAGACCGACATTCTTACAAAACATGTACTCGGGAAGGTTCTGGCATACGCATATGTTATTGAGTACCAAAAAAGACGCTTACCACATGCCCACATGGTCATTATTTTGGATGAAAATGATAGGTTACGCACTCTTGATGATTATGATAACATTGTCAGAGCTGAAATTCCAGACAAGAGATTAGAGCCTAGATTATACAGTGCAGTTCTCAAACACATGATACATGGCCCATGTGGAATGTACAATGAACGGTCCCCATGTATGACAAATGGTCGGTGCAAAAGACGTTTCCCAAAGCCATTTTCTTCAATTACTACACTTGGAAACGATTCATATCCTGTTTATCGAAGAAGAGAAGGGGAGTCAGTTCCTTTAGAGAGTAATCCAAGCGTCTTGGTGGATAATAGTTGGGTCATTCCATACAACCCATGGTTGCTCTTGAAATATGATTGTCATATCAATCTTGAAATTTGCAGTAGTGTTACAAGTGTGAAGTATTTATACAAATATGTTTATAAAGGGCCTGATCGTGTTGCACTAGAAGTTCGTCAAGGTCCTAATTATGACGAAGTACAACAGTTCATAGATGGAAGATGGGTTTGTGCTCCAGAAGCATTATAGAAAATATTCAAATTCCCAATGACCAAAATGACTCCTAGCGTAGAGCGTCTCCAAATACACTTACCAAATAAGCATCAAGTGAGGTTTTATATGTTCCAAGACATCACAAATGTTTTAGGCGATGAGTATTATTCCAGAACAATGCTTACCCAATTCTTTCAATTAAATATTGATGATGAAATTGCAAATCAATACTTATATCGAGAGATACCGCAACACTATAGATGGTGCAATAGCGCAAAGATTTGGCAGTTGAGATTGAACCATCAAAGAGTAATTGGTAGAATTTACACAGTTTCGCCATCAGAAGATGAGAGATTTTACTTGAGAATTTTACTCAATCATATCCGAGGACCAAAATCATTCGATCATTTGTTAATGGTTAATGGAATTGCGTACCCAACTTTTAAACAAGCAGCTAAACATCATGGTTTGTTAGAGAATGATGATAGCATATGACAATGTTTGTTAGAAGCTGCAACCATGCACATGTCATCAGCTTTAAGGAGATTGTTCGTTACAATTTTGGTTTACTGTGTGCCAATAGGGGTGCAAAGTTTGTGGGATGAAATTTATCCTCACTTGATTGAAGATTACATATCTTCAAACAGTATGAATAATATGTATATCCTTAACAAAAATCTGCAAGATATAAACCGTCTCCTGCTACAGCATAATAAGAACATATCAGAATACGATTTGCCTGAGATAACAATGGATTTGGATGATAATTCAACAGTTCCAAAGGTCATACAAGATGAGTTTTCCACTGTAACTCCTCAAGAAGACTTAAATTCTATTGCCACATTAAATAGTGATCAACACTTAGCATTCAATTCAATCATGGAGGCTGTGGAATGCAATACTGGTGCAATCTTCTTTGTGGATGGCCCAGGAGGAACTGGAAAGACATATTTATATCGTGCACTGTTGGCCTCAGTGAGAAGTCAAGGGAGAATTGCCATTGCAACAGCAACTTCTGGAATTGCAGCTACACTTTTACCTGGTGGAAGGACAGCTCATTCAAGATTCAAGATCTCCTTAAATCCAGAGGCTTCGTCCATGTATTCCATTACTAAACAATCAGATTTGGCAGAATTGATTAGACGTGCAACAGTCATCATTTGGGATGAAGCTACAATGACAAATCGTTATGCTTTTGAAGCCTTGAATAGAACACTCATAGACATCACCGGTGTTGATTATCCATTTGGTGGCAAAATTATGATGTTTGGTGGTGATTTTCGACAAGTACTTCCAGTTGTTCCTAAAGGTACAAAAGCTGAAACTATTGCTGCATCGCTAGTCAAATCACCTCTTTGGAGTCACATTCAAATACTTCGTTTAAAGCAAAACATGCGCTCCATAAATGACCAACAGTTTGATGAATTTCTTTTATTTGTTGGAAATGGTGTACAACCTACCATTATAGATGAAATGATCAAAGTACCACCATCGATGGCAATACCATGGAATGGCGAAGAATCAATAGTTCAACTATTAGAAGAAATTTATCCTAATATCATAAACCATTCTTTTGACGCCGAGTAAATGGTTAGCAGGGGCATAATAACTCCTCGCAATGAAGATGTCGACAAGGTCAATGAGAAAATCATTCAGAGATATCCAGGAGAATCAAGAGTGTACCACTCATTTGATAAAGTTGAAAATGATACCCAAAATTTGTATCAACAAGAGTTTTTAAATTCCATTTCACTAGGAGGAATGCCCCCACATGCATTGCATTTGAAAGTTGGAGCCCCAATTATGCTTTTGAGGAATCTTGACCCTTCTTCTGGTTTGTGCAATGGCACAAGGCTACTATGTCGAGCTTTGAACGATAATTTCATAGATTCAGAGATTTTAACAGGGCATTTCAAAGGCACGAGAGTTTTCCGACATCGCATTGCATTAAAGGCTCCGAAAAACTTAAAACTTCCATTTGAAATGACTCGCACACAATTTCCAGTTCGCCTTAGTTTTGCTTTGACGATAAATAAATCACAAGGTCAAACAATTCCATATGTGGGAATTTACCTTCTGGATCATGTATTTAGTCATGGACAACTATATGTTGCTTTATCTCGAGGGGTGTCAGATCAAACAACGAAAGTCTTGGTTAAAAAGGATTCAGTTAATAATGAAGGAGTGTATACCCGCAATGTAGTCTACAAAGACATTTTGTTACCAAATTATTGATACATGAGGTATGTACTAAATATGTTCTTATTGAGCTTATATTATGTCATTTCTTAAAATCTACAATTAATATACTTATAATATATCTTCATATAATTATTGATTGCAGGAATACTTGAAAAAATAAAGCTACTTCAGCTTTGGGAGAATTATCAAGGGGAAGCAAATATGGTTGCAGATAAGAAAGTTAAAAATCAGGTATTGGCTTCACTTATGTTCAAAAATTAATGTTTGTAAAATTTTTGCTATTTAATCTGACAATATTCGCATATATTTTGAGTTTGACTATACCTTTTAAATTAATGTAGGTCAAACAGTTCTCCATATACAGTCTTGGATGGAAGATCTCTATTAAAGTTGATAATGTGTTTGTGGCATTTTATATGAATAATTTCAATATGTTACATTTGCTAATAGTTATTGTAATCTTTTTATAGAAATCCTATCATATCTGATAGAGCAAGTATATGCAGCAAAGACAATATGGACATATATGTGGTAAAAGATCAAGTCTTATGAACTTTACTACTACGCTCCAAATATTCATATTTATGAATTTACAAATTAATTTTAGATTTTATAAATTTGTCGAACAATCAACTTACAAGGACGTGAGATATTTTTTCTCAGTTTTATAGGCAACGAATGATACAAAAATTGAAAGCTTACAAATATATGTGCAACATTGTTACAAGGTAATCTACTTATAGGTTAGTATGTATAATAACTAAAGTTACGTACTTCATTTTCGGTCAATTCCATCTTATTTTTTGTAGTTTAATGTTGTCATAGATCTATGGCAAAAATTGCATCAAAACAATTTGAAGAGATCATTGAACGTGACATTTGATATGAACGATGTCAATCTATGTCGATATGTAAGTTTTTAATTTTTAGATTTTGTTTACAAAAAATTAACACAATAATTACCTTTTGTGTCTTTATACATAATAAGCCAATTATAAAACCAAACTTATGTATAATTATGCCTCATAACGTAAAATATAATTTTAATTAATGTATACTATTAGCAATCTTATGATAAATATAACTTATATATACATATATATATATATATATATATTTTTTGCAGGATTTGTAGGATTTCCGGTCTCATGTTACCAAATTTAGATTTTATATGAATTTTTATTGAATAGTTTTTTTAGTTAAGATTAGTAAATATTTCAATTTTTAAAACACGTGTACATATTGTAATGTGCATATGTTTTATTTATCAAATACGTTAATATCAAATGTTACATTGTACATAATTATTCATATGGTTTATATGTATGTTATTAGAAAAAATAATATCAAAATCATATTATAATTTTAAACGAGTTTGCACACGCATCGCGTGTGCCCAACCACTAGTATTATTATAAAGTGAACACCCTTACGGTATCTTGAAACCTTTGTTTCTTTTGCTGCCACGTGTCTATCTTTTTATTTGAAAAAAAAAAATTAGATAAATGAGAGGAGGGGATTTGAACCTTAGACTTATGTCAAAAGAATAAGACTCTTACCACTTTACTAGCACACAATATATGATAAATGTTTTATTTTATTTTTATTTATTTGAATTGCACACACATCGCGTGTGGCAACCGCTAGTGTATATATCCATATATATATATATATATATATTGTTTATGATTATCAAATGTTAAATATACTTAGAAAGTAATATAATGCTTCTTATAATAATTATAACTATAAATAATGTATATTTTTCAAAGAGGAAATATCATTTTTCCCCAAAACTATTACACGTTTTTCAATTTCGCACTCAGACTTCACATTATTTTAATTTGACCCTTAACTTTTTAAAATTTGATCAATTTACCCCTACCGTCTGTTTTCGTCTACAATCAAACGGAACTTATTAACTTGGCACCAAATTTTATTTAAAATTTTATTTTACCCTCCAAATTATACCTTAAAAATTAATTTGCCCCCCAAATATTAAATTTTTTTAATATTTAATAAATATTTTTTATCTCAAAAATGAAAAAATTAAATTTTAAATAAAAAAAAAATTGTTTATTAGTCCTTTTGATTATTTTAGGCAATAATTCACTATTAAATTTTTTTTTACCTTCTCAATTTTGAAATTACTATTAATCGATCAATTCTTTGAAATTAATTTGAGAAATAAGTAGTTACAATTGCACATACACAAGAGAGTAACCAAGAAATTTTCGGCTCAATTAGTTTTACTCAAGATAATTTGAGACCTATGAAGCATAGGTACAGGTAGTTCAATACGGTAAAATTCCAAAAAACTATGATAAAGGTACAACTTGGTATATTTGTAAAAAAAAATTATTTTCAATTTATAATAATGCAAAATTGATTAAATAGTTTAATTTGTTAAAATCTAACATACAATTAACATTTAATGCCAAAAAGCATATGTATGAAATAAATCAAAATTAAATATCATTATATTAAATAACTTACAAATCATAATTTAACTTTAAAATCATACTAAGCAAAATGATATTTCCTCTTTTTCAAAAGAGGATTTTTCCCTGGCCACATCCGAAGTATGCAAATGGTTCAAGTTCTTTTTGCCATTCAATCTATATATACACCAAAAAGGAGGAACTTTTAGCGACAGATAAACCTGTCACTAATAGTAAAAAACGCCACAAAAAATAGTTTTTTTCAAAAAATAGCAACATGACAAAAGGTCTATGCAACATATCAAAATTGTTGCTATTTTTTGGCAACGGATTTTCAGCTCTTTTGCAACAGATAGCAAGTCTAAAAAAAAAATAAAATATATTTTTTTTCCAACTACAACATTATCCATTGCTAATAAGTCTTTTTGCAATTGCAACATTATCCATCACTAATAAGTTTGGTCCAAATCAATTTAATGCCAAAAATTTTAGCAATAGTAACACTAATTGTCACAAAAACAATTACCATTAATTGTTTTAATTAACTTTATTGAATTTTCTTTTGCGACCGCTAAATCATTATATAAAATTTATTCAAATGTTTTACTTATATAAATTATTAATATTTCCTGCAATAAAATACATTTATATTTACAAAATCCTGTTTCAATATTAATATTTGCTAAAACAGATATTAATTCACATTCATAAAATCAAATGAGAATAATAATCCAAAACAATCACATTATTAAATTTAACCAAAATATTCAATCCAACCAAAATTTAACAAATATTTCAATTTAGCTAAAAATTCAATACAACCCAGATTAGTATCTATATCCAATCACTGGCCAAATAACAAAATAAATCGATATGAAAACAAATATCAACATTGGTAGTAAGTTCCAACTTCGACATAATTAAATTATGTAATTAAATTATGAAAACAAACATAACCATTGCCACCTCAGTAGAAGAGCTACATCAGTAAACAAACAAATATTTAAATTATTTACAGTATAATTAAAATCAAGCTACAAAAATATTAAAAAAGATTAAATCAGCCCAAGGAAAACTGAGATTAAATCTTCCCCTCATAAGATAGACTAGGTTATATAATACACTGCAGATTTCATAATGAGGCCAACTCTCAACTGTGACTACAGCAGTATAGAAGAAATTATGAAGAAGGGTTATCTCTAGAAAGACAGTAAATAAAGCAGAATAGAAGAAATTATGAAGCATATCGAACAATATTCAAATACTGAAACAACCGTAGAGCATCATTGTTTCTTGAAGATAAGAGCAGAAAGCAAAGAAGCCATTTTCGTAAGTAACAGAGATGGTAAGACCAAAATTATGGCATAAATTCAGTAGTTAGTCCCCTCATTTGATCAGGAAGAGCTCCTTTGAGAAGGAACCTAAACAATGGATTAGAAGGAACCTAAACAGTGGATTAAGTGGGCATGAGAAGGCAAGTTAAAGATGAATAATTCATAACTAGAAGGAACCTGTCAATGCAAGAATGGGGTAACCGAAAACACGCATTTGGAATAGAACCAAGTCCAATGCTAAATCACAACATAAACCAAAATATTATTCTGAAAGAGTTCTAAACTATCTAATCAAAATATATAACCATAGTATAGATCCCAAAAAGGAAAAGGGAAAGATGAGAGGAAAAAAAGAGACAGTTAAAGTAGATAAGACTATCAAAGCACAGGCATTAAGAGAACAAAGAGTTGAACTCTTGTGAATCCCGTATGGTAAAATCACCTGGAATCCATTCATCAAGTGGGTCCTTTTAGTCAATCCTGGGATATATGTTCCAGGTTGAGGTGATTTAGGCAGCAAGGCACCATCAGAAATTTTTATCGGAGTAAATGAAAACAATATTTTATCACATCACTATTAGCTCGCCAGAGGAGAAAAGCTTACCATGACGATGACCCATAACACCATAAGAATGAATCCCTTCAGCTATTTCAGTGCACAAATTTGCCTCCTTGGCACCACGCCCTGTATGGTGTATCAACTATTAGAAGTGGCTCCAGCATTGATGCAAATGACATTAAGAATATATTCGCAAATGCAAGGCTGTTGAACATAGTTCTAACCTGCTCCACTCACCAGATTTTGAGTCAATAATTATATATTTTTACTTTCAACAAGGTTAGCCTGCAAGCCAAAGTGCATTTAGAGTGATTAATGGCAAGAAGAAACAGCACAAACAGTGCCTGCTAGAATTTTTTATTTTTTTTTGGTAAACGTGCCTGCTAGAATTTATGCATTCCAATGGTAGCATTCTATCCTGAATAGACAGCTCAAGCCCAAGTCAAGAAAATGCTCAGCCTATCTGCAAAAGATGTGCATGTCAAATTCTTTAAACATCCATCCAGGTAAAGCATATTCTCAAATTAGACCAGTAATAAAATTCACGAGTTTCATAAATCATAGAAGTAACTAAAGCAACCAAGTAGAGTTCAATGAAGGCTGATCTTGAAGCATAATAACAAAATCATTTCTTTCGTTTCTAAAAGTATGAAGGCCAAAAAGATGGAAAATAGGTTTTTAGAGTACTAGAACATTGAGAAATAAAGTAACCAAAATAACTGTAATGAGAGATCTTAAAAGAAATAAGCTTTCTACAAAGCAAAGGTAGTGAACTACATAACAGCCCTGATTAAAAAAATCATGTCTATTTCTGAGACAACCAATTTCATCAAATTTAATGCACAACTGAGCAAGAAGTCTTATCAAAGTATTGCAAATTTTTCACACATTAAGTATGTCTAATAAAAAAAAAATTTGAACACAAACAAAACAAACCTTTATCAAGGGAACAAGAGGAAGCTAAATAGATGTTGGATAACAGCCAGGATTTGCAACTAAACGAGCATCTTGGATTTCTCTTCTATAAATCTCTGTCAAACCATAGACAGCTTCTCTCTGTGTCCAGACAAAATAAATAGACTTGTTCACACGCAGATCAAAACAAGTTTAGGGGGAAGTAATTGTCAAAATTACAGATACAAAAGATTCTATATTGCACCCATGAACATAAAATGGGGAAAAAAATCATCAAAAACCGTGCAGCAGACTTTTTTTTCCCCACATATAATTATTTATGGAGATAGGGTAAAAGAAAGGTAAAAAAAGTTATCCCCACCTGCAAATCTGGTGTTCTATGAGGTTGTCCATACCATTTTTCATATTCATCAATATCTCGCAGCCCGAAGTCCTGCATAATCCTCCCAAATTACTTGAAATGAGTAAACTCAAGATCACGGAAATAACAACGGGGTACAAATTCATGAATGAATGCAGAATTAAGAAAATGTGCATCCAAAGCATACTGCAGAAAGGACAACAATCTTTAACCCTTTAGGAAGAGCTTTGATAATTTCCTGTAAAAAAAATTACTGAATATTTATTAAAAAAAAAAAAAAAGAGGCAAGCTTTATATATCTACTAATCAATCATCTGATTAACAAGGATCTGAATGTATTTTCTGCTTTTCTTGCCCTCGAGAGTTGCAAGGGTTAAGAATTTGCAAGACCATAAGTTTCATGAGGGTTCAACATTGCTTATTGAATGAGTAAAAAAGGTGTCATGGAATCACCTGTGTGGTTCCATGTGGTAAATGACAAAATCAATGCTTACATGAATCACAACACTTTCTATTTTTGAAAGCAAAAAATAGAAAACAATTTCAGCCTGTTTTGTTGAACATGGAATCCAGAAACCTGTAAAGAACAACAACTAGATCTAAAGCTAGCTACATCAATTTAGTTACACACATACACATATATATATATCCATAATTTCCTGCATATTTGCAGTATAACAACATTTAAAGTCATCTAGCAATAAAATAAAAAAATAAAAACCAGCTCAGCAGCCAATGTGCTTGTGACCGAAAAATGTAACTAGGACTCAAACCCAACACAACTAAGACTTGAGAATGAGTATATCTTGGGGCAATCACAGACTGGTTTTGAGGATCAATGTCTCTAAAACCAAGTTACACCTTAAACACAAAGAGGTCCATATGGCTTAAGTTTCCACCCAAATGGGAATAAATCTAGTATAAAACCTATTTAATACGGAAAACATACAAAATCACATGCAAAATCAATCAAAATCAGATCAGTCCATGGAAATCCAAATTACACATAAAACACCATAAAGAAACAACCAATCTTCAAGTAATTTTAACAATCAGAAGAACACAACATTAACATAAACTCATATAGACAAAATCTTCAAGTATATACCATTGTTGCTGCTCGATCACATGAACGAGAAGAGCTTTCCATGTATCCCACTGCATGGACTAGAAAGAGCAAGAAAACACAAAAACAAAAGCAAAAATGCTAGAAATCAGCTAACCGGGGAAAAAATGTAAGTGAATTTATATACATCAACTTAAATATACTCCAACTCATTGTTTTAGCCATGAAATTTTACAGAACTTGTGTGAACACAGCAAATCTAGATCAGAAAACCCTTACCTTGAGCTCTAAATCAATTTAAATCAGAGAGATTTGAACACTCTCGAAGATATACACTCAAGTCAAGAGGAGAACAAGATTTTCCGGATCAAAATCACCAAAAATCAATGGAAATCGGAGAACAAGGCAAGAGAGAGAGAGAGAGAGAGATCAACAAAGAGAGATCAACAAAGAGAGATTTCAGATTGCAAGAGATCTCTAGAGAGAGAGAGAGAGAGAGATCTTTTCGAGAGAGAACAAATCTGAAACAAAATCAAACATATTTGAATTCGCTCATATCTGAGCTCATACAAACAGATCTGAAACAACACAAACAGATCAAAGAGAGAGGAAGAGAGTGTGAATCTAAGAGAGAGGAAGAGAGATATACTATTGGAGTGGAGGATTTGGGCGTCGGAGTGGTGGAGGATGGTGGAGCAAGTCGCTGGGAGGATGACAGCACTGGTAAAGGATGGCGGAGCGAATCGATGGCTGATACAATTGGTGAGAGAGAGAGAGAGAGAGAGAGAGAGGGGCTGGGTTTATCGTGAAAATGAAATTGGGGATCAAATAATGGTTAGTATAAGAAAATATACATATGTATTAGAAGACGGTTTAAACCATTCGTCGCAAATGGTATTTTTGCGATGGGAAAGTAATCCGTCGCAAAAGCTTTCCTGTTTTTTACTTCATTGGAGACATTTGTTTTACCGTGGCAAAAAACCCACTATTTGTGACAGATTTCATTCCGTCTCAAATACTTCCGTCTTTTTTACCCCTTTTTTTGGTAGTGATAGATGTTGCTTGCGTAAAATTTAGAACACAAAAATATGAAGAAAAATAAATAAATTGAAATGTTAAGCATGAACAGTTGGTCAAAATGTTTTAAGATTTATGTGATTCAAGTTGACCCTTTTTGTTTTTAATATTCTTTAATTGTATACATGCAAAATATCTGAAAAGAATGTATCAGCCTATATTTCAATCACGTTATCATTCAAACAATTGTGTCATGAATTTTCTGAACATATTTACAGAACAACTGTTAATCAAGCTGTCTAATTTAAATATACTTCGTGTATCTACAAAACATCTGTACATAATTAATTGGCAAATTTTCAATTATTCTGACTGACAGAATAATGACATTTTCATAGTGCACTGTTTCTTCTATGACTCCTCACCAAATCCTTGATGTCAAAAAGTTATCAACACACAGTCGCGCAATGGCATCAAGGGCGGGTTTCATACCAGAAGAATTAACATTTTTTGTCATCACAAATACTGTTTTTTTTTTTGGATCAGCCAAAAAAAAAAATATTATTAATGCAATTTGCGAAGATTACATCAATAAAAACACCAAGGTGCAGAACAGCATCATGGCGAAGTTAACCTATCCCAATTAGGTTGGCACATGAACACACGCAAATCATATGCAAGAACCAAGGAATGACAGCCATTGGTGAGAAACCAACCAAATTAAACATGAACCGAATACAAACGAACACTACAGGGCAAACCCAATGGAAGAAATCATGCTCCCACACCAGTAATCATCACAAATACTATTTAGTGACGGCACGTTGATAAGTGGATGGTCACAAATAGTATTTTTGCTAATAATATGGATATTTTCCAATGATAGGTACATGTATTAGCGCTTTCCATATAGCAGCAAGCCCACATGAATCTGCAACACCTGGGGTTGTTGAGGCAATGCTCCAACACCCCAAGAAAACCATACATTTGTGTGGGGTCATGGACATAGTAGTGGGATCCATAGAAATGTGTAAAAAAAAACTACACATGCGGTTAGTTCATCCTAAGAGGTCATGTCAAGAAATTTAGACAAATAATGTGAACTTAAGAAACTGATTTTGCACTTTTCTATTGAAGTGTGTTAATTATCCTATCCTAATACTGTTATGAAAGTTCACTATGTTGTTTTTGTCAGGAATTTGGGCTGACTGACAAGAGCTATCCCCACTTCAGTAATCCAAGAAGATACATTTAAATTAACAAAATAAGCATCTAATGTAATAATCAAATCACATCGCATTCACATTGCATGTAACTAGGTAAAGTGCAAGCACCAAATAACTAAAAATGGGTAACCATTAATTAAATTAAGGTCATATTTAGCATTAAATTAGGAAAAAGAGCCACAGAGTTGACGAAAATTAGAACTTAACTTACACTTTTCGAAGTAAAAGGAAAGTGATTGCTGTGAACAAAAAGAAACCTTCATTTAGTAATTTGTCAAACACCTGTTGTGCAACAAAAAGGAATTAGTTTCAAAAAAATTTAAATAGGCATTGAGTGACAAATCTAAACATAGAGCTGGACAACATAAGAAACTATAGATCAGAAATACTAAAAAAATGAAGCTGTAATTGATGTACCCTGATGAGATGAGAGTATGAGGTCCCAAAAAACAGAACTCAGTAGTTTTCTTGTTGAAGAGAAAGTTTTCTGTGATATTATTGTTGAAGCAATAATGTTATGTTTGTTAGAGCATCCACAACAATGCCAGTCAAAATTGTTATTTTAAAATTTTACTTCATTAATTTAGTTAGTCATTTTTTCATTATACCCTCGAACAACCCCTTTTTATTTTAACTATATTTTATTAAAAAATATTTTCTTCCATTTTTTTTTTTAATTGCTTCAATATTTTTCTATATAGACCAATATATACACAAACCTATTAGGGAGATTCTGCGTCAATTTTGTATACATGAATAAGTTGATGGGAAATACCATAATACATTCCTACAACCTACAATGATGTGTCTATCATATGCCTTAATTATGATGTTTGTGATTTTTCGTTATGACTTATTATGATCATAATAAAAACAATAATCACATGTCATAACCAACAACACAATGAGTCCTAACCACATCATAACTACCATCACAATAAATCATAACCAAAAACCACAAACATCCTGCAAACGTTATAATTGGGCATGTGATACACATCCCATTTTGAGATTTGTGTTATAGAATTTCCCTTCTTTTTAAGACTTAAATTTAAAAATCAAAATCATTTACAGTTATTTACTAATTTATATGTCAAATCATTCACCAAAAACTAATTTTCTTCACAAGCAACCATGGCTATGGCTGTCTGCAACGCTTGGAAACCCCCTCCGATCACAAAATTTTATTTGTTCTCTCTCTTTTTCTTCTTCTTCTTCTTCTTCTTCTTCTTCTTCTTCTACGCAATCATCTGTTACTACTTCTTGTAGTAACCCCTCTTCATGCAACTATACTGAGCGCCAACTTGACTAATATTGGTCTGGAACTAAATGCAGAGATAGACACAGAATGAGATGCTTATGTCTCACCCGAAGGCATGCAACTCACCCCAAATGAGATCAACACGAGCCAGAATTACGCAGCTGGTCAAGCCACATACAAAGATCCTCATTTCCTTTGGGACAACACTTCTGGAAAACTCATTGACATCAACACCTATTTCTTGTTTGTCATTGATTCGAAAGGAAGTAGTGTTTTTGCAGATGAGCTCACATTCTTCCTTGATCCTAATGGTTACACTCCCAATATCACAGCAGGTGGTGCCATTGGTCTTCCAATTGACCCTTAGACACAAAAACTGACCACTCCCTTTGTTGCTATGGAGTTTGATACCTTTTAGAATTTGGGTTGGGACCCAAACAACACCACATATCTAGGTATCAATATCAACTCTCTCAGATCTAACACTACTGTAGTATGGTACAGTAACATACCATCTGGGATAGAAAATGAAGCTTGGATTAATTATGATTCTAGTTTGAAAAACTTGAGTGTTGCTTTCACTGGTTCAATAAATAATACGATAATTCAGAGTAACCTTAGTTTCTTGGTTAATCTCAGGGAGTACTTACCAGAATGGGTTGCAATCGGCTTCACAGCTTCAACGGGGAATAATTTTGAGAAAAATACTGTGAAATAGTGGGTGTTCAATTTGACTTTACAAATTGATGTGTCAGCGAAACCAGGTCCCAGTCCAGGACCCAACCCAGTCACCTCTAACCCTCCAAAGAAGATGGGTGAAAACAACAAAAAGGCATTGTTCAGGGGATTGACTGTAGGCCCATCTGTTTTGATTGGTGGGTTGGCTTTGCTTGGCTTTGTCTTGTGGAAAAAAAGTAGGAGGGTTAAAGAAGAAGATGAGTTTGCTATTGAGCTATCCATGGACAATGAATTTGAGGCAGGAATCGGACCAAAGAAATTTACATATGGTGAATTGTTTCGTGCAATAGATAACTTTGTAGAGGAACATAAGCTGGAGAGGGAGGATTTGTTGGGGTTTGTAGAGGTTTCTGAAAGGAATCCAACTCCTATGCTGCCGTGAAGAGGATACCAAAGGGATCAAAACAGGGAATAAAAGAGTATCCATCAGAAGTGAAGATCATTAGTCGATTGAGGCATAGAAGTTTGGTGCAACTAATTGGTTGGTGTCATGAGAAAAGACAACTACTTGTTTATGAGTTCATGGAAAATGGAAGCTTAGATTACCATCTCTTCAAAGAAAAAAACTTGTTGACATAGGCAATAAGGTACAAAATTCTCAAGGCCTAGCTTCAGCATTGCTCTAACTACATGAAGAATGGGACAATGTGTGGTGCACGGTGATGTAAAATCAAGCAATGTCATGTTGGATTCTGATTTCAATGCCAAACTTGGTGATTTTGGGTTAGCCAGACCTGTTGACCATGAAAAAGGGTCGCAAACCACAATTTTGGCAGGGACCATGGGCTACAAGGCACCCAAATGCTTAATTATAGGCAAAGCCAATAAGGAATTAGATGTCTATAGTTTTGGAGTTGTGGCATTGGAGATAGCTTGTGGAAGAAAAATATTGACCTAAAGGTTGAAGAAAGTAAGATAAGAATAGCGGAGTGGGTTTGGGACCTATATGGTACTGGTAGGCTTCTCGAAGCGGAGGTGGATTCAAAGATATGCCCAGATTTTGTTAAAGAAGAGATGGAATGCTTGATGATTGTTGGGCTCCAGTGTGCTCACCTAGATCACAATCTTTGGCCTTCAATTAGGCAAGCTATTCATGTGCTTAATTTTGAAGCTCCATTGCCCATGGCAACATATTTTGCTCCTATGAATACTTCTTCACCTTTGGTTTCTTTAACCTATGGCTCTACTACTATTTGTAATAGCAGCCAACTTCATTCTTCAAGCTATAGTTACAACACAAATTCTTCCAAGTTCACCTCATCCTCTGCAACTTCTTCTTCATCTACATCATCTCGTATACAAAACTAAGTTGATTGAGAAATTATCTGGTCCAATATTTAATGTATTTGAACATAGTAAAATCATAGTTATAGATATTGATTTCATAGTTTTTATTCTTCGTGCAATTTATACTTTGTATTGGTACCGATGTATCCACCAAATATAGACATGTTCGTTCATGATTGTGAAATGTTAAATATACTTAGAAAGTAGTATAATGCTTTATATAATGAATATACCGTGTTCATCAAAACTATATAGATAACTCATAGAAGTTAAATATAATTGAGAGCTTATATAACATTAGCAAC